AATCGCAACAGCGCTTACCTAGCCAGACAGCGTATGCTACCGACGCCATAAACCGTGGTATAGAGAATGGAACTATCCGCGAAAGATTTGCCATCAATCTACCATTTCTGTAAATTCCTCCAATCATAGTAACGACGGACAAAACGAAATAATTACTTGTATTTTTTCAACTCTTCGCCTTCGCCAAGTTTCAGCATATTATAAAGATCTACTTGTTGTCCAATGTAGAAACTGTCATAGAGTGTTCCTAAAAGATGAAAAATGATGGCAGAATTGAGATCAAAGAATTGGATTGAAACGCACCCAATAAAAAGATTCCTCCAGTAGAGATATACACAAAAGCTTCAGGAACCTGCTCAAGATATAACTTATGCAGGCCGGCGATGCCACCTACCATTAGTAACATCCTATACAGTACAACAATGCAATAAGATATCGAATCGTAATGAACATAAAGTACTCATAAAATGCTGTTGTGAGTGTTGGTTGGTGTGATTATGAATGAATTTCTCTACGAGCAAAAAAAGGAAGTCTTGTAATAAAAAAAGCACTGGTGTTCTGCTGGGCACTTCTTAGGGTAACTGAGCAACAAAAAAGAAACAGATGCTCCTTCCCACTTTTATACGATGGATCAACATGGTTAATATGGAGGATGGCGTTTAAATATATATTATACACTTCATATCTTTGCTCTTCGCTACCATGCAAATTCCTCTTTATAACTAAGAATACATGATTACGCCCCATAAAATCTATATCAGAAAATTTTGCTTACAAAAACTGCAAAGAGAGATATCACAGTAAGTGTACACCAATTATGTAAAAAACGATATAACATTCCTTAGGTTTTATTGACGAGACTAAAACGATAAACGGCCGGAAATGTAAAGCGATCGGACGACATTGAAAAATCAGAGAAATTAAACACATCAAGAAGATCTCAGCAGAATCTGGATTTGTATATTTTACCTTAGGTTGACCCTGTCAATAGTTGCTTCGTACATTGCGATTTCTAACTTTAATTTATACTGATTAATTTTATGAGGAAAATCTTCTATCAGTATTTTCGTCGGCTGACAGAAAACAAGAGCCGAACTTCTAACATATGGCCTTAAGTTCATTGTGATGGCAATCTAGTTCTCTGCGGTGAATGTGCAGCACCAATTTTTCAATCTGCCGCTTTAAGTCGCACTACGATACCGCCGAATTATCGTTTGACAAATCCTCCTTCGAGAGTAAGTTTTGCAAAGCAATCATATAATATTAGAGAAGGGAAAATTTTAGAAGTCATTGTCGCAACACTCACCTAGCCTTCAATACATCTGCCAGCCGAGGTGCGCAAGAGGAGTCAACATCGTCAGACATTTCCAACCGTCAGAAGCAAACTAGCAGTTCCTACACTTCTTCCTACTCCTTTGAGCAGACGATAGACGCCACGATAGGGGCTTTTTAAAGTTCTTGCACTAGTTGAAAACAGATCTTATCACGTTTCTGGTTTCAATTACGGCAATTAATCAACAATTCCTCACATGAACTACATATGTCACTGGTCAGCAACCTTCACCAAATCGAACTATAGGCCTCCCGAGAATAATCTTTATATGCAATCAAATAAAAACTCACAAGCAATAAATCATCACTCATCTATCAAAGGCGATGTTGGGACAGAACAATATTAGCACTTGTCCACTTCATTAACGTACTCTTTTCAAAACTCGATAGTCCCAATGTTAGTGAAGAAAAAAA